TAAATAGTCCTCGTTTCCCCTTGTCTGGTGCGGGGTCGTTCTTGTCTTCTTGCCTTGTCTCTTGTCCTTTCGTCCGTCGTCACCCCCACGCCAGGTTTGCCTTCGTCTTTTGTCACAGTTTTTGCCTCAGCCATAGTCTCCGTTTTGCCACAGTTTTGTCAATTGTTATTTTGTTACTTTGTCATAGTTTTGCCACAGTATTGTTTGCTCATTGCTTTGTTACTTTGCCCACAGTTTGCCACAGCTTTGTTTTGTACTTTGTCTGGACATTCACCCTGTTTTTTGTCAATAAACCTTGTTCCCCTCATTCCGCGACTGAGTCCTCCCGTCAACACCCACCGCCCTGACAAGGATTAGAGTCAAAGTGAGGGAGGGTGAAGATCAAGCGAGCAAATTAGCCAAGCAGTGAGAAAAACGGGCCCGATAGAGTAGGAGCAGCAGAGTGGGAAGAGGGGGCCGGTTGTGGTGGAGGTCGAGGACAGGACAACACAGCGGGGGAAAAGCTGGACCAGGGCCAGGGTCAGCAAGGGTGGGCAAACAGAGAACCGGAGTCAGAGCTAACCAGATAAAGGCTTCAGCCTGCAGAACCTCTTTTCCCTCTTCCCTTCCCCAGTCTGCTGTCTTTTAGAAGTCCCGTAACAGAGTTTGGGGAATGCTTTTTCTCTCAGAAATGCAGCATTTAAGAGTCAAACAAATGGTCCACGGTCACAAAGGACATACCCTGTCTAACTATAGTAGATATGACCACAGACAGAGAACAATGTAGGTGTTAAATCAAGCAAGTATGAAGTATTAAGCCTGTCCAACATTCACTTTCTTAAACAGCAGTTCTGATTCTCACATATTTACAACATTTAGACTGAAATTTCATTCTAGACTGTGTCTCATTTCTTGCTGGTGAACACTTGGTTGGCTAAGATACACAAACTGTAAATGTAAACTGTGTAAGACAGTCTCATAGTAAAAAGATACAAAAGATAGCAATGCTGACCCCTGGACTAGTGTCCAGTTTAACACCCTGTGATGAGGATGTTGGGTTTAAAAGTCAAAACATTTGCATGGACAATCACATTTAGAATATTGAGTTAAAAAACAAACCGTTTTGATTTATAATATTAAGGTAATTGTGAAAGTAATTGGTATTTCCCCTGTCCTCTCTAGTTGAGCATAGGTGAGCAATAACACATGAAACAACATGTTAGGCTTCCAGAACAGGAAATGGGTGTTGAGGCCTGGAGGGGAGCCTCAGAATGCCGTCTTCTCCTGTGAGTTTGAGTTAGATGTGCAAAGCAAGAACCTGGCTCATTCCAATCCTTAACCCCGTACACTACAATAACGTATAGCGTATAGTTGCAGCACTGGACGGAACAGAGGGAGGAAAAGTTCAGAAAGCTGGAGGAAAAGACTTCAACTTTTCAGTTCTCTCCTCGAGCTTCACGAACGTGACTTCAGCATGTTAACACGTTCCAGCTGAACTTGGAGGTCCAGCTTTGTCCTCTGCACTCACCATGTGCTCCATGTTGGAGGCGGGGGGGTGCACCTGACCGCGCAGCTTGTTGTGCAGGTCCAGGATCAGATGCATGTCCCCCTCGCTGATGGCCCTCCTCCCTCTGGACCTCGCCTTCCACCACTTGTCATCTTTGTCCCTGTACTGGTTCAGCATGGACTCCAGCTGGGTGGAATTAATCAGGACCAGGGCTTGGACGGTCCGGGTCAAGCACAGAAACAAGCCTACCACTCTAACCCAGCCAGGGAGAGAAGGAGATCTCTTCATGTCGAAATGAAGACTGATGATATGAAGGATGCCGTTGGTCTGTAAAACGGGGGTGTTCAAAGAAAACAGTTTAAGTCTCAATTCTTTTTACAAATAACATAATGCAAATTAAGAAAGTATAAATACTTTTATGTCAAAGTAATCTGCTCTATTGGTGCTGGAGGAGCTTAAAAAAGATCCCCCAAAGTGGTGTGACATTTATGATTTTCTATCTATTCAAAATCCAATAATCCTAAAAACATAGAAGACTTTTCCTTAAACAGTGAGCCTCCAACAGCTTTCAGCAGACTGGGTGCATCTAAAGGTCACTGCTTCACTAAACACAGTAGCAGCAGTGTCAACCCAGCTTCCACACATCATGAGAGGGCAAAAACGCCTCAGGCTTCCAAACTATACTTTACCTGCGCTGGCTTTAGCGATGTGGTCACTAAAGTAGTCATAGTACGACATTTGGTGCTAATGAATGAGAAGCTTAGCACGCCTACAAACAGTAAAGGTTCGTTTACCTCGAAATTCTCCAAAAAACGATCAAAATGTGTCTCTGGTGTGATTGTGGCAGATGCTGAACCGTCCAGTTTCTACAGCAGAACGCGCCAGAGGGGAGCGCATTTAAATCCATCCATGCTAGAGATGAGCTCAGGCAGTTGGGGCTCTCTCAGGCTGCACATCCGCGCTGCATGACAGGGACCTCGCGAATGCCTGAGTACCTGTTGAATTCCTCAGTTCTCTCAGTGTCCTGCAGGCTGCAAGGCACTGCTCCTCATTTTGCGCTTATATGCCAAATTTGCGCTTAGGGACGCAAGTGGACCACGCCTCCATAAACCCGGTTACCCCCCACCCCCCTCACCCAATTCTTGTACACAAACACTCACACACGAACTGGCCGGGACCTGTTGGGACTCCAGGCTTGATCTATTTGAAGAGGCAAGTGATTTCAGAAGAAGTGACGTGAAGGTAAACTTGCGGATGCTGTGGAAGCAGCCCACGTTGGTTAGAAAATATTACACATTTTGCCATGTCCAATTTTTCTCACTGAAAGACAAGGTGAATACTCTTATTGGCAGATTAAAATAAACTGCAGCTTTAGGCTACATTTCCAAAAGGCTGAGACATCATTGAAAGCAGTTTTATCCCAGGCAAAAGTAACATTTCTTCACTTTAGCTCACACAAAAACTGGAAGAAAAAAACTGTGCATTGGTGCATATAGACCAAATATCCCACTCATGATCATCTTTGAGTTGTCTATTGCTTGTGTTGAAGGCTTTACATGAAAAGTTTCATCACCAGTGTGCCAGAGGTGCGGCAGCAGCCAGCAGGGTGGCCGGTATTTTCCCTTAAACATAACCACAAAGCACTGATTCATCTGCTTTAACACACACTCAGGCACATTTGTCAAAGTCTGTGGTCTGTGTATGTGCGTTCCCTCTCCTGCCCTCTTTTCTTCCTGTACGCCAGCATGCTCTCTTCTGAAAGTCCCCAGAAAAAAGTTTATTTTACAGTCACTTAAGGAAAGAGTAAAAATGGGGGAAATACAGATCATGTATATATATAAAAAAGAGCTCAGTGTAAGCAGTAAAAACAGTCTGGCCACTAATGAGTGGAGGAAAGACAAAGATAATTTATGTTTCAAAGACAATTGGATTATATTTAAAGAAAATATGGCACGTGCCATCCATGATCTGTAACTTTAGTTTTCACATAAAATACAGAGAGTGCCGCATTTGTGCAGATCTGACAATGAATCAAGACAAAGCAGAATGCCAACGTCTCCGTGCATTTATGAGATTCTGTAACAGTTTTTCTTCCATGGTACTTTCAGTCTTACAGAAAACTGCATGCAACATCAAACTTAGACTGCCACCGTCTGCTGCCCCCTTATGGATACTGATCATCTCACATCCTTACCTCCACACAGGGTGCTGCTGTGCTCACCAGGGTGCACAACAGACAAAACAGGAGTAAAAGGTAAGAAAGATAAAGCTCCCTCTCATAAAGGTCATGAGGAGGGTATGCTCCTGTTCTATTTATACTGTCACAGCATGATATTCAAAAAGTTTCTCCAAGAAATCTCTGAATTTCAAATGTGAAATAGTTTATTGTTCTCTAGTAATTCAGTTTTAAACTATACTGTGCGTAATTGTGCCTAATTTATTTCCCCCCCTATTTTTTTACAAACCAATTAAAAATGATTATATTCTATGTATGTATCACTGCGTCTGGAAAGATGCTTCATTATTCCTGTAGGGCGCGTGTGACCCCCCGCTGCTAAAAGGAACAGAGACTTTAAAAACAAGATCAACAATATCATTCGAAGAATTACGCACACGCCAAAAGCAAATTTACGCACAACCGTTCGCTGCCTACGTGTTGTGGGTAGATTTAAAAACAGCCTAAAGGTGGAGCGTGAATTGTGAAGGTTCGACTTTAATCCTTTGAACCGTCGGGAGGGATGGGGACGCGCGCGTCTGCTCCCGGATCCCGCGCGCTCTGAGGTTTGGCAACAAAAAGCCTGGAAACGCGCCGTCCGCCACCTCGGGACTATTTCATGGCAATAACCGAGTCAGAGCCTGTGATCCTCAGGGAACAGACATGGTGGCCAAACTTCTGCTGCCCATCGGTGAGTGGACATGAGTCCAGAGGAATTTCAGAATCCCAGCTTCAGCCTTATGCGCTTTACTGGGGCTCTCACTTGCTGACCTGTAAGAACTGAGCCCCTTGTGTTTATGTGTTTTCCCCCATTTTTCCTCATGTTCCAGCCCTCTGCTGGCTTCTAATCGTTTTTTTTCTTGTGTCCCCTCAGCTTTAGCAGCAAGCTTCATGTCAAATGGAGTGTCCGGGGCCACAGCTACCACAAAAAAAGGTATGACATCCTCAGACACACAACGCCTATAATGACACATTTTACAGAACAGCCCTGAGGATTTGCAGTTTTTCTTCAGTTAAACATCCTTATTTCATGAGTGAGTTGTATGCCACTTCTCCAGGATACAGATTAATAGGAGGATTTATTGAGTTAGATCCCGTGGCGGCGGGTGAACAGGAAAATGGTGTTTGGCTGTGTATTTTGGTTAAATCAGAGTGTTGACAAAGTTCTAATTAACACCCAGGGGAGAATCACAGCCCCCTCATTTTCTCTCTGATGTGGAGTTATTAATAATCTTTCTGTGGTTCCTAACATGTCAAACTGTGTTTATGGCTGAAAATAACTTTTAAATGAAAAAGTAAACAACGCCCCAGAAAGCTTTTGTATTCTGAACCTAACGAAAGCGAGGAATGAAAACCAAGAACTTCTGCTCACCTGAAGCTGTGCGCTGCCTTCTGTCTGCCAGCGGTGAAGAACAACTCGGGTGTGACACCCGCGGGGCTGTGCGGGACCTGGATAAAGGAGGCCGATGGAGGGTATTTCACCTCACCCAATTACCCCGAGAAATACCCACCGGAGAGGGAATGCATCTACATTATAGAAGGTGACGGGAAACTTTTCTGACCAACCTCTCATATTGCACACATGATATACCTCATTGCAAACCTTTCAACTGTATTAAGAGTTCATGAAATATCTGGTGGATGTGTTCTAGCCCTGTGGTTTTATTTATATCCACACATATGCTTGGAAGTACGTTTTTCTACACAAAGTGAAGTATGAGTTGCTCCCAATCTGCCTTTTATTGGCCAGCGTCTTTTTCAAACGTCTTCATAGTTAAGAACATAGCTGTGTACTCCCTCCATCCATGCTGCTTTTTACCTCCCCGTCTTTACCTTTCCCCCCCCGCAGCCTCACCACGACAGTGCATCGACCTGTATTTCAACGAGAACTACGCCCTCGAGCCGTCCTGGGAGTGTAGGTTTGACCACATCGAGGTCCGCGACGGTCCCTTTGGTTTCTCCCCCATCATCGGCCGCTACTGTGGGCAGGAGCTCCCCTCCTACATCCGCTCCACCGGACGCTACCTGTACATCAAGTTTGTGGCTGACGGGGAGCTGGAGGCCATCGGTTTCTCTGCCCGGTATAACTTCACACAAGGTGAGTGAACTGTCTTCAGGTTCTGGTGCATCTCACTCTGAGGGTTTGACAGGCATCAATCCACTTTAGTGTTTGGATTTGGTAACAGTAACCCATCCCGTTCATTTCCAGATGAATCTCCTGTTGTGAAGTGCTTGTGGGAGCAGCAGTAGTGGGAAAAAAACAAACTGTTTGCACATTCTCTGGTGTTCATGTGTGAAAACAACTCCTGCAATAGTGGATACTGTTTTAAAAAAAAAGCCACTACTTGAACTACCACAGACACGGCAATCACATCAAAAGACCCTCTTCATCACGAGTAGAACAAAAAACCCAGCTGAACAAAAAAGATACCTGGATTGTTGTCCACTGAGATGAACACATAACTGTCTTTTTATGAGGTTTTCATGTTTAAAATTAGACCGGGTTGGCTGTGTGCAGTTAACTGTTGTAGACCATCATCATTAGAATTACATTTACCTAATGAGCTGAATTATTTAAACACATAAATGTACAAGAACTCACTGTCACGTCTGGGGGAATGTCTTGTCTTGATTACCTATTGTGTACACCTGGGGTTTCCCTCCCTCATGTGTTTAAATAGTCCTCGTTTCCCCTTGTCTGGTGCGGGGTCGTTCTTGTCTGCTTGCCTTGTCTCTTGTCCTTTCGTCCGTCGTCACCCCCACGCCAGGTTTGTTTCGTCACAGTTCTGCCACAGTCATAGTCACGTTTTGTCATAGTCTTGTTTATCTTTATTTTGTTACTTTGTCAAGTCATAGTTTTTGCCACAGTATTGTTTGCTCATTGCTTTGTTACTTTGCCCACAGTTTGCCACAGCTTTGTTTTGTACTTTGTCTGGACATTCACCCTGTTTTTTGTCAATAAACCTTGTTCCCCTCATTCCGCGACTGAGTCCTCCCCTCAAGACCCACCTCCCTGACACTCACTCTGTGTCTCTGGCAAACCAGAAGACTATTTGTTCCTAATTTCACTTCGACACGCCGCAGATGAAGTTTAGGTTGGTCGACACTAACGCATTAACATGGCTGGCAGGTGGGTGATCAGAGTATTACGAGGGCTTTAAGCTCCTTTCTCCATCTCCTGGCACTCTTTCTCCACTCACCAGCTGTGAATTTGACATTGTTGAATTTGGTCTGACTAAGCCAGAATACGCTTTAAACCCCAAACTATCAGTTTCTGTTGTGAGAATACATGTGAATATACTTCCATTCCCAATGGCATAATGATATATCCACATTTACTTTTCTATTACAATCCAAGATAGACTTTGCAAATCTTTCACCGACATAAAAGGATGCAAAGTTGTGTGCAATAAATGCCGATTTTAACTCCGCACACTTGCAGATGTCAGATTTTTTAACCTCAGCGATGGCCTGCTTGCATGTGCTCTCATTTCCATTCGCTGTGCACGGCAGCTGCAGCTGACAGGAGCACATGCAGATACACACCAGTCCACACACCCACCCACACACACAGAGGCACTTGTTCCCTCGGCTCTGTCTCTCTCACACACTCTCACACACACACACGCACGAGAGTTAATGAAAGCTTGTCTTCAGGGACTGCAGCTTGTCAGCACTGAGCCGTGGCAGCAGCTTAAGGGAGTCAGAGGCGGAGGCTTTATTAACCACAGATTTTATAGGCCACCTACACCGGCGAGGGGCCGGGATTAATCTGCATCTCTCCGTCCAGCTATCTATCTGGTCTCTGTTATTGTTTTTATTGTTTATGGAATTTTTCCAGCTTTAGATTCCTTGGCCTATCATGCGTACTGTAGCCCTGAAGGTGCCAGCCAGAAGTGCATGTCAGGGCTCAGCGCTGCTTTTACCAAAATATGACACTTGGCTTCTGCCTCACGCGCCGTTTTTCTCTATAATAGAGACAATTTAAGCAAACTTGAGAGTTCATCAGAGACATTTGAGTAATCTCTTTTCTTGTAAGTAGGGCCCTGACATGATTTGTCCCTGTAAGAGGGTATTTTCCATCATGAGCAGCTGGTTTATATCAGATGCAGTAAGCAGGAAAGGTCAAAAGTTAATCTCCTAATTCCACTCATCAGGAGTGGCAGGAGAGAGTAAATTTGCCCAAACGCACGCTTGCATGATTACAAACAAAATGTGACTGAATTCTGATAAAGGATTGTCCGGTCAGGTGAGGCTAGAATGAAGGGATGAATGGTTAACTGTGTTAACTGATAGCACGGCTAGCTATAAATCTTGCTATTAGTGTACTCTTTTTTGTGTATAAAGTTAGCATTTTCCAGATTTTAGGAATGAGTATTTTTAAAAAAAAAGGGTTTTAGTGCTTGACAGTTGTCTGTTTTCATCTTTGCGTACCATTTTTGCTTCATTACTTGGGAATGGAGGCTTTGTCTCTTGTACCTTGTATCTTTGTCTACCACAGTGTGATAAAACGATGTGATGCATCTCACATCTTTTTCTATATCAGCCTTGCAAATATTTTTTTTTGTTCTCACCAGAAAGCCCCATGTAACATATTGTAGCATCTATGACACACATACACACTCTCTGAAATGTGAATAATCTGGCCAAGCCTGAAGCAGAATTGGTAGGAAACATGAGGGGATTAACAAGAATCCTTGTTGATTTGAGTTCATCACCTTCCCCTTTTACGTCACAACTTCTGTCTACTGTTCTGCAGAACTAGAAGTTTAAATAATTAATGGGAAAAAATATGTTTACCGGGAAAAACTCAGAATTCTTAGTATCCTCCCAAGAGAACATAAAAAAGTGTTTTATTTTGAGCAACACTATGATTATTGTTACACAATGATGAACAAGGTGCTTCACAGAGAAGTCATAAGCAGAAATAAAAATTTTATAACACGGCAGTAGTTTATTCTTCTGAGGCCTAAGCTGTCCTGGCCTAATCTTATCTATGAGGATTTTTAATCCACCAAGCAAGTAGATTCATCAGCACAAAGGTTTAGGACACAATATTTGTTCCATTTCTGATGCTAGACGTATATTTCTATGAAGGACAGCGGGTTCAGGGGTGTTTAAATGAGGACAGGGGAAATGTGCTTGAAAAAGATCATGTAAGCTTCAGACAGCTGGAGATTGTATTTTTCAATATGTGTCGAATTGAGTGTTTTTATTCTCTGCATTTAACCCAGAAATCTAGATTAGTAGATTTTTTTACAAGGAGTCCCCCTGTCAAAGATTATTCATGTAAAGACAAAACCCCAGATTTTTTTGTCAGAATATGTGTAGAATACAGTATTTACCAGTTCTTAGACTGAGACAAAAGGGGCCTAATATTGATAAGATATAGAAATGTAAGCAGTGTGTGAAAACAGTTAAACTCATCCTTAACTCTTCCACAGGAATTGAGACCTAATCAGCAACTATGTGGTGCTCTGAAATAGAATTAGATGAAAAGTTTAGTAATTTTGCTTGCCTGCATTATGCAACTCAAAAATCCAGGAAGCAGACACAAGAAATTATTTTAGCTAAATGGCTGTTGCTGTTTGGAGCTGATCATTCTAGAGGGAAAGATCATTCACATATAAAGCTTCTCAGATTGGCTGGAGTGGACTTCTTCTCTCTAAAAACAACACGGTAGCCTAAATCTCTGAAAGGGCAGCTGAACGAAACACAACCCATATGGATCAGGGTCCTGTTGTGGGGTTGTTTGGCCAAAATGCACAGCACTATATTTGCCAAAAATTCAGCATGTCAGCACAAACTTCAGCGGTATTGCTGTTATTCAGCCATCATGAACTCCTCTGTTAACCTATAGAGAACAAAAAAGAAACAAGGTGCCGTGTAAAGGTGAGCAAAGAGGGCGACTCAATAAAAGTGTTGAATCAGAATACTGAGATAGAGAGCTGTGTTTTGATAAAAGTCTTTTGGCGCCGAACTATTTGAAGCAATGTTACAAAGAAGAATGGGACAAAACTCCTGGACATCAATGTGAGACTGAAAACATCAACAATAAAAACAGTTACCTCAAGTTGCTGATGCTGAAAGTTTTTCTAAAATCTATAAATTATGGGGTGCCTAAACGATGCATTAAAAATATTTTTACCTTTTCCTGAGCACAATGGTCAATAAAAGAATGATTAATAAGAATTTTCACATGATCTAATGTGGTGCACATTTGTCTCTCAGATCCTGAGTTTACAGAACTTGGAGAGCTGCCAGCTCTGCCATGTGAGTATTCATTTTTATGACCCAACATTTTAAGATGAGAAGCTACAAATGGAAAAATGTGATGGATACAAAATCTTAAGACAAATCTTTAAACAAAGAAAGTATTTGTATGTCTTTTATAGCATTAATAGAGGGAATCTGAATTTGAAGCCAAATATTTGTCTATTTCTTGTTGAAATCATATCACTGAGAACACATATTAATCTTATGCATGAGTAAGGCGTTGTTAAATTCAACCTGTCAAATTGTTGCCCTCCACAGTTTGTGACTTTGAGCTGACCGGTCCAGAGGGTTATGTGGAATCGGCGCAGATAGCCCGAGAAGGACGGGCGCAGCTAACCGATGCAGTGGACTGCAGGTGGTACATCAGGGCGCCACCCAGAGCTAAGGTGTGCACAGTCTCTAACTAATTCACTTCACATAAAATGATATATAGGACAAAAACAACCGCTTGCTAACAACTAAATCTACCAGCAGTGTTTTAAATGCCTGTTATAAGGAAGAGGCATCTCACACACTAAACCTTTGAAGTCTTACCAGCATAAATGTTTTCAGATATTAAGTTATTTAGTCTCATGTTATCTGTGTGTGTAATCTGAGCCTACCTATTGGTAAACTTCAAATAAATATCCTAACAGTGGTTTTTGGGTTTCTTGAATCTTGAAGGTACTCAGAAGGTGTGCTTGCCATTAAAATGCTGTCAGGTCACCGCCCCTTTTCTCTGCTCTACTCACCCTGACCCCCCCACAGATCTACATGCGTTTCCTGGAATATGAAATGCACAATTCAAACGAGTGCAAGCGCAACTTTGTGGGCATCTATGATGGCAGCAGCTCGGTGGAGCACCTGAAGAATAAGTTCTGTTCCACGGTGGCCATCGACGTGATGCTGGTGACCTCTCTGGGCGTGGTCAGGCTGTGGGCGGACGAGGGAAGCCGGAAAAGCAGATTCAAGATCCTGTTCACAACTTTCCATGAACGTGAGTGAAGGGATACTTTTTGCATCAAACAAGACAAAGGCTTCTTTTCTCCTTAACATATTTCTCAGAATCAGATGACTCACAACTTTGATGGTCCTCTGTGCAGAGGAGATTCTGTGACTAAGCTAAATAACCCTCAGAGCACATGTTTGACATGAAAAGAGCTGTTTTAATATTTGAAAACACAGACACAAACCACATTGCCATTGCAAAAAAAGAATTGCATAATTTCCCATTTCCGATGTTTCTTTTTGCTGTAAACTGGCTGTATAAACAGATGGATGGAGACATCTGCATTCAGATATACAGCTGCCGGGGAGGTGTCTTAGTATGAGAAAACATCATGGCTCCAACTCCACACTCCCGTAAAAAGTAAAAAAAAAAGTAATGTTCTCTCATCAAATAATACATCAGTAAATTCTTCCCACGAGTCATTAACTCCAGTAAAGACAGTTTTTCTGATTAGTGGGCTGCTGGAACGTCTAAAAGATTTAAAAAATGTCACCAAATAAAAATCCCTAAAGAAATTCCAACTGGCTTCTTTGGAATCACTCTCCAGCTCCTACGCCTTCAACAAGGGCAGGGAATGACAAGTCAGTGCATCACAATCCCTGTCTATCACTTATCTGCAGTTTTTTAAATGATTTATCATGTCTTCAGCCAGCATGTTGCCAAAAAAACAAACAACCCCCCCAAAAAAACCAACAACTGTGTCATCCAGTCACTGTGTGTCTGAGATGTTGTATTACAGATTAAACTCCCAACCAAAGTGACAACAGTAAGTTAGAACGGTCGTCTACCTTTTGCTTTCCAGCTCCGTGCGAACGAGACACGTTTTTTTGCCACAGCAACATGTGCATCAACAACAGCCTGGTCTGCAACGGGATCCAGAACTGTGTTTACCCATGGGACGAGAATCGCTGCAAAGGTACGAATATCTGACCCGCCACTGTGGCCAGCGGCTATGTCTGGCATTCCCAGCCCATCACTGGACTCTGCTTCTTTCTTATGTGCTGTATGTTTGAGCAGAGAAGAGAAAGGCCAGTATCCTGGACACGCTGGACCACACAAACCTCACCATCATTGGAGTAACCTGCGGCCTGGTTGTCGTCCTGCTCGTCATTTCTATAATCATTCAGATCAAACAGCCACGCAAGAAATACATTGTTCGCAGGTGAGAGATTTCTAATTCACTATAATGATTTATATGTCACCGGAAAATTCTGTGTGACCAGCAAAGACAGAAAAATAAACTGTGAGCCTGCAGCAGCTTCAATTGGATTTATATTTTAACTATACTAGTTTTTTATTTGAGCATTTTCAAGGCTGATCAATTAAAAATTTCTCGACTTTCCCTTTCACAGCCTTATTTTCTGAAGAAGGCAATAAAAATGTTCTGATAAATCTGTTGTGTAATGCAAAACAGAAGGCAGCCATTAGCCTTTCTGATGCAGTGAAATCTAAATGAGGTGGTAAAACATTTGAGCTTGTAATCAGTAGAAACTGACATCAATGTGACGGATAGAACAAAAGTTCAAGTAAAACACGACCTTAAATCTCTCCCACAGAGATGAGTTTGACCCTGCGGACCTCCATCCCGGCTTCGATCCGCCTCACTATGAGCTCTGCACGCTTCGCCGGGCTCCCTCCGGGGAGCTGACTGAAGCCGCCCTGGCCGAGGACTTTCACAAACTCAGACGCTCCGAAAGCAAGTGCATCCGGGACCACCACTGCGGCTCCCATCAGGGAAGCGTGCACGGCAGCATGCACGGCAGCATCCACGGGAGCCGCAGCAACCTCAGCATGAGGGACGCCACCATCGCGCCGGACGGGGGGGCTCTGGTTTCCCCGGCGATGGTGGGTCAGATGTCTCCACACCTGTCCCACCACAACACGCCGGCAGGCCGACGCAGCATCCTGGTGATGAAGCACAGCTACTCCCAGGATGGGGCCGAAGGCTACAGGCCAGAGGACGAGGAGGACGACTTGATGATGGATGTCGGTCCGAGTAACAACATGCACCACATGCACCACCATCAGATCCCCCATGGTCCGTCAGGGCTGGGCCACACTGTCCATCGTACACTATCTAATGACTTTTAACTCACAGCAGTGACATCTTAAAAAGAGAAATGAGCATTGAAACACAATGCAACTAATTGGAGGAATGAGCAAAGAGTGGGTTAGAAAATAGGATAGGATAGGAAAGTGTAGGTCATGGTCTGTTTATTTTTCCTTATGTAGCCTAAAACAAATCTTATCTTTAAAATTGTAATGCTGATTGATTAGACTTGTATTAGTATGTTCAGGGGAAATCCAGATTCTGCATTAAATGAGCAGAATG